GGGTTTTGGAATCATCAGAATTCGGTTCAGCGTCCCTCTCCTCTAGATCAAAATCGTGACCCCGGCTCCGTTCGAAGTTTTAACTAATCACGTATACTTGTAACCCTTTTAACCTTTCGCGAGTCATTCTCACTCGCACACGCCGGCCTGGCCATGTCCGGGCGGCGGCCCAGCTACCTGCATAGGCCGCTCGGACTGCAGGTACTCCGCACCAGCCTGTTAGATAGGTCGCAGACCGTCTGCCCCACGGCTACCCGCGGACGCCCGGAAACTGCCCATCGACGCCGGAGCCGGTCCGTATGCGCACATGGCCAGGATGCTTGGCGGACGCGCCACTAACTAAGGCCCCCGGCCGATCTCTCCCTGCGCGGATACTAAACTGAACTGGTCATTTGCGCCGGCGTGTGCGCTGGGGCGACTCGAACCTAATGTTTAGGACCCATGCCAAAGCGTTGCATGTAGCGATAGCGGACCTTCGCTCAGGTGTGGTATAAGAGGGGGTTGACAGGGGAGGGAGTGTACTGTGGGTTGCCTACATACAGGGGTTTTGTAGTACAAATTGCCAACCTTACGGGCGGCTCACTAGAGACCATAGGGAGGAGGGGGGGGAACCCCCCCTCCCCTTATACCGCGTCTGCCTTCGCTAGAGTGTCACCTCTTCATACGTAGTCGTGCGTTACCGGCACGTGAAGTGGTTATCATCATTAATTTGCCAAAGTCAACCGTTTTTAGCGACAGTCCCGCGCTACGGAGCATCGCTCGAGTCGCCTGGCTGGCGTTGCGTCCCCCTGCCAGCCAGAAATCAAAGATCGATTAAACGTCCAAGAGATGTTTAGAGGTGTAAAAGACGTCTACTCTATGAGACACTACTATCCGGGCCGCTCCATCGTAGGGTTCTTGATGTGCGCGAATGTCGAGGTCTGATAAAGCCGGAGAACGACGTTTGAAAGCGCGACAACGTGTGGACGATCTTAATCTATCATTGATCGATTTGGAAGGCGCGCGTGGCGGAGGAGGTCCCTATCGCGCACTGTCGCTCCACCCTTCGGACAAGATGGGCATCACCGTCGTCCTGGTGTTGATCTTCACCGCGGCGCCCGGGGCACACTCCGCCCTGCCCGACGTGGACATGACGGCGCCCCCCGAGGCCACGAGCGCCCTGGCCCTGCTGTCCCCCTTCCTCGCCGCACAGACGAGCACCCTGCTCATCCTCGGCCAGGTGAACTGGACTGGCGCTTTCCTCCGGGGTCTGTCCTCAGAGACCTCTCGGGTGCTGCTCCCCGACGAGAGGGCAGAGAATGACCAATACCTGGACAACTTTGGGGTGGGAAACAACTGCACCGCGCTCGTCGTGGCGGACGAACCCGCCGAACCATACTCTTGGATGGAAAGAAAGTTCAGACTCATTAACGGATGCCGCTACCTGTTCTGGGTGACGACGAAGAAGGACAAGCAGTTGGCGCCTCCGAAGGATCTCAGCATCGCATTGTGCGTCAAGCCAACAGGCCTCGCGGTCACCACGCGCAACGGCAGCACCACTCTGTTTAGTGTGGTGCAACAATCTCATATTAAAGGTTCACCGATATTACTGGAGGTGGACCGATGGTCACCGTCAGACGAGAGATGGGAGCAAACAGGCGCATTGCTTAGGGTATTCGGCTCTTTTTGCAGCAGTTGGCGCCCACCGGCCGCGGGTGAGTCCCTGACAGTCTATGAGATAACAAAAGACGAAAAGACACCTCTTCCCGAATATTTCAAAACATTAAGAGCTAAAATTATGGATCTTCCCTGGACATTGAACACGAAGTCTACCCCCTTGTTAATTGATAATTATTTGTCGGATATTGTTGTGGAGTCATGGCAGAAGATAGATCACTGCCAGCTATCCCTAATATTCGCTGAGTACGACGCATTAGGTGTGAACTTAAGAAAGGTCAGCGTGATGGCCGAAAAGGGGACGTTTGAAATCTCCGCTTTCGTTCCGGCTGGTTTCGGCCCAGCCGTCAACCCTCTTGACGCCGTCCTGGTGGAGTTCTCGCCGGCGGTGTGGCTGGGCACGGCGCTGGCTGCGCTGTGCATCGCGGCCGCCCTGGCCTGCACCCTGCGCCGGGACCGCGGCGCGGCGCTGCTGCTGGCCCTGGCGCCCCTGCTGGGCCAGGCCCCGGGGACGCCCCCGCCCGCGGGCCGCGCGCTGCGGCCGCTGCTCGGAGTGTGGCTGCTCGTGTGCGTCGTGCTGGTGGCCGCCTACCAGGGGCTGCTGCTGGGCAAGTTGTACACGGCACGAGCGCACACTGAGGTCAACAGCCTGCTTTCTCTCAAGAAGACTGGCCTTCCCATCTATGTGACGTGGGGTTCACATAATGTGTTGGCGAAAGAGTTTTATACAGAACCAGACATTAAACACAAACTTCACTTAGCGACGGACGTAAGCAAGACCCTCCAACACGTAGCGCAGCACCGGAACTGCGCGCTGATCGCGGTACATGACCGTGCCCTCCAGCGGCTTTTACAGCCACTGACCATCCCGCAGAAGAAGGTGCACTCGTTCCCTATTGTCCCTGACAACAGAAGGTTGATCGCCGCGTGGACCCATGGGTCGCCGCTGGGCGAGCTGTCCCATTTGACGTACGAGCGCTTGGATCAAGCCGGGATCCTGGACCATTGGGAGGACAAGCTGGACGAAGGTAACAAGGTGGCGCTCGCGAGGTACTTGGTGTCCCTGCAGCAGGTGATGGCTCTCACGCTGAAGATGATGGCCCCGGCGTTCTACGTGCTCTTCATCGGCCTCGCCCTGGCCACGCTCGTGCTCGGGGTCGAGCTTGCGACGGCGAGGTGGTGCGGGGCTCAGGGGAGGACGGTGACTCCTGCAGGGCAGCGGCCCCGTGGCCCCGCCCTAACCCGCCTCTATGGAAGACAAAACGTCCGTCGCCGTCGTCCAGCGGCCGCCCTGCGCCCGCGCGCCCGGGGAGGCCCTCCTCAGGACCCAGTAGCTGGGCAGCGTAGTGGAGACTCGCGGCTTGTGCCGGACATCTCCCTGGTGCAGCTGCAGCAGCACCGCGGGCCGAGGCGCACAGCCTGGCGAGGACAGCGTCCCACATGTCAAGGCATGCCATGCCGTGTATAATAAGGCATTCCGGTAAGGCTGAAATGCAAAAGAATGCAGGGAAGAAGAAAACGGAAATTGCTATGCTTCAAAATGGGGACTTCCGTTTTCTTGTTCCCTGCATTCTTCTGCATTTCGACACCTTGGAATAAAAGGCACGCAGGCACGCTGGATCCGAGATCCCCGCAGTTCCTATCCCTGTAGCGAAGAACTGCGTGGATCTCGGATCCAGCGGCTGAACCGCGTGGATCTCGGATCCAGCGGCTGAACCGCGTGGATCTCGGATCCAGCGGCTGAACTGCGTGCCTTTTATTCCAAGGTGTCGATTTCAGCTTTACCGGAATGCTTTATTGTCAAGCCGCGGCTGTTCTTCGCGCCGGTGGCGGCGAAGCGCGGTTCGGACAGGGTCGGCTGAAACTGCTACAGAAAGAGGCAGAAGTACCGTTACGGATAGCGGAACAATAACGACCGCAAAAGTTCCGCCACTGAGATTCCCCGCCGCGTCGTATGGAGGGTCGTGAAGTGCGCCCCCTTAGAGTAGACCGACGATCCGGCTCGAGGAGGTCGAGGCGGTGGGAGGTGGATATCGAGAGCGATTCCTCGAGGCGATCGCTCCCGCGACCCTCCATAAGATTCAGGATCAGCGACCTGGATAACGGAGGAGCACGGATCGCGAGGACGTTCATCGGTGGCCTCGAGGTCGCCGACGACGCCCCGAGGATGATCACGCCTCCAACACTATCAAATCAGGTAGGCGAAACTGATTGCCCGCCATGACCTTTTCTAGGTCTACTACTGAAAACTAGACAAAAGTTTGTACTTCTATTTTATCTAAAATTCGGGAAAAAGCACTTCGTACTGCCTTAATGGTAAGAATTGGCGCAAAACGGGCGACATTTTAGTCCAAGGGCTTCCAACTCGACGAGTTACCCTTTGACAAACAATTTCCTTCAATTCAATTCAAACCGACTACTCCAGTCATTCGTGTGTCGTTTCTCTGGTCGATAATTTTCTATTATACGTACATATCTATAAAGGTATAGTTGGGGAAGTATGTCCGTTTTCCTTAAATTTATTCATCAAGTAACGGACGGTCGGCGCCTGCGAGACCCGGGGTAGGCCAGCCCGCTGTACACGCATGCACTACAGGCAAGATGTTGCCTATCCACCAGGCGCTCTGAGAGCTGGCGCTGGCAGTCACCGAACCGAGACAACGAGTAGGTTCATAACAGTGAATGACAGAGGTAAATTATGGGGACAACCCCTCTCAGATATAGAGTAGACAATAAAAGATTATGGTTTACAAATAGAAGTGTGTGCGATTCGAACACTTAAAAGTGCGTGCCGAAATGTCCCACACAAAAATGGTGTGACCATTTTGTCACTTTTACATGAGATATTTTGGCACGCTTTTTTAAGTGTTTGAATTGTGCACACATCTATATGGAGAGTGTGGGTCACTTTCGATTATCTAGCGAACTCTCCAGATCCTCACAGCAACCACATACGCTGATAAATAAAGTGTGAAACTGGCGTGCACTTGCAAGTGCCTAACACGACGTTGCACAACTTTTAAGTGTATAACTGAATGTTTGAAAACAAAAAAGTTTTTAACAGTGTAGTTGGACACTTGGTAGAAGTGTTCAACTTCATGGTTGGCCATGGAGCTTTGGACAGTTTACTTCCAAAATTGCATCCCTACCCTATCTTACAATACTGTGCCAGGCAGGGCAGGCGGCAGGCCCCGTTAGTACACAACAGTTGGGCCACCGACGCCGGCTCCTCTACGCCGAATAAAAAATTGCAGGTAACGATCAGACATAAACAAACGACACCTCATGAGAGAATACTAGAACATTGATCTACGTCCATCTGCTGTAAAGATCGATTCTTAGTTTAGATTTTATTAGAAGATGATACGTTAGTAACTTTAAGTGTCAGCTAGCTTTTTCTCTCGATACGGCTAGAGAAAAATGTGGAGATCAGATAACAATTTCTTTGGCGCCGGGGGAACCGTGACTGAGTGAGTGTTGCGCCAGGCTAAATATGACAGGGGGATCCCCCTCCCTGCACAACAATACTATCCGACACCGGCCCCTGTGCCCGCGCGCCCGCGCTTTTCAACGCCGCTTGTTCGCTGAAATGGCAAATAACAAGAAACCAGAAACAAATGACAGCTAAATCCGGGAGAAAATTTGAAAACAGACATATTCTTAAATTTCTCTCATCTGCTTTGAAGATAGATTCTTGATTTAGATTTTTACATCCAGCAAGTAAGTCCGTTAAAACAGTCATATGCCGGTCGATCCACAGACCGATTATTTTGCTTATACTGGCATGCGTGCGGGTGGGCTTGCCTACCGTCGCTCTCCGAGGCGCCTTCACCGAGTGCGACCGACGCGCAAACAGTGAGCAGCAGAATCCTGCTGAAGGACCTGCTCCGCGCCCGCGAGTCTGCAACCCATCGCGCACTGGCCTTCAGCCGGGCTGCTGTGCCATGGCCGTGCCACTGCATCACTATCACGCCCACGCCACCCCACCACCGTGCCTCTCAGAGCCGTACAGACCGGAAGGGTTGCCTAACTGGTGTTGCACAGGAGGCGCGCGATGCGTGACGAGTGCGGTGCGCGTCGACTGCAACGGGCGAGAGTGAGAAAATGGGGTTCCACACACATGTCCAATCCGAGTGAAAAAGTGCATTGGTTTGACGTTGTCGTTGTTAGAACCCCTGGTCAAAGACTCGACCGACCCC